TTTTATAATTATAAAATTTATCTTTTTACCGTACATTTGGCGATTCCAAAAGATATATTTATGGCAACGTTAAAGACTGTTGTCTCCATCGTGGAAATCATGTTTTTAGAACACTAATATTCTCGGTCACATATACAAGAAAATATGAGCTGTTATACAGCAGTACGAACAGAACGAATGTTTCTGCAAATAAAAATATTGATTGTATTTGGTTCCTGTCATAATTTATTTGATATTATAAGCAAAAACTCAAATGTTTACGTTTTTAAGATAAGACATTTTATAAATATCTATATAATCATATAATTTAATTGACACCGTACAGTTTGGAAATTTCGCAATATATATTTAGGCGATGTTAAAGTATGTTGTCCGCATCGTGTAACTAATCTTCATAAAAACTCTCTTTTCCAGTCACATATACTAGAAATTATGAGCAAACCAAAATATATTATTCCGCAATACGAACAGAACGATTGCATCTACAACAAGAAACATTCATTATATTCGGATCCTATCATATTTAGTTTCATACTATAAGCAAAGAACTCAAATGTTTACTTGTCTAAGATAGGACATTGCATAAATAACTATATAATCATATAATTAACTTGAAACCGTACAGTTTTTTAATTTTGAAAAATATATTTATGGCGATGTTAAAGACTGTTGACCCCATCGTGAAACTCGTGTTTTTAAAATACTGATACTTAGTCACATATACAAGAAGATATGAGCAAACAAAAATGATGTTATTCAGCAGTATGAAGAGAACGATTGCATCTTCAACTAAAACCATTCATTATGTTCGGTTCCTGTCATATTTAATTTGATATTATAAGCAAAAACTCAAGTGTTTACGTGTTCAAGATAAGACATTGTATAAATATCTAAATAATCATATAATTAACTTGATATCGTACATTTTGTTAATTTCGCAAGATATATTTTTGGCGATGATAAAGTCTGTTGTCGCCATTGTGAAACACATGTTCTTAAAATACGGATATTCTTAGTCACATAAAAAAGTATATATGAGCAAACCAAACCATATTATTCAGCAGTACGAACAGAACGATTGCATCTACAACTAAAAATATTCATTGTATTCGGTTCCTGTTAAATTTAATTTGATATTAGGAGCAAATAACTCAAACATTTTCGTGTTCAATATAAGATATTGTACAAATATTTATATAACCATATAATTATCTGAAATCAAACAGTATTGTAAATTCACAATATATATTTCTGGCGATGTTAAAAACTGCTGTCCCCTTCGTGTACCATATGTTCCTATATACTGACATTATCTGTCGCATATACAAGAAAATATAAGCAAACAAAACGACGTCAATCCGTTTTTCGACAGACCATTGCATCTACAAATAAAAACTTTAATAGTATTCGGTTCCTGTCATATATAATTTGAAATTAGAAAAAAAAATTCAAATATTTACGTGTTTAATATAAGACATTATATAAATATCTATATAATCGTATAATTTAACTTGATACCGTACATTTGTTAATTTCACAAGATATATTTATGGAGATATTAAATAATGTTGTCCCCATCCTGAAACTCATATTTTGAAAACTCTGGCATTCTCAGTCACATATACAGGAAAATATGAGCAAAAAAAGCGATGTTATCCAGCAGTACGAACAGAACGAATCCTTCTACAAATAAAAACATACATTTTATTCGGTTCCTGTCATATTTTATTTAAAAATATAAACAAAAACACAAATGTTTACGTATTTAAGATAGGACATTTTATAAATATCTATATAATAACATAATTAACTTGGAACCGTACAGTTTGGAAATTTCGCATGATATATTTATGGCTATGTTAAAGAATGTTGTCCGCATCGTGAAACCCATGTTCTTAAAATACTCCCATTCTCAGTCACATATACAAGAAGATATGAGCCAACCAAAACGACGTTATTCAGCAGTTCGAAAAGAACGATTTCATTTTCAAGTAAAAACATTTTTGTACTCCGTTCCTGTCATACGTAATATGATTTTATGAGCAAGAAAATCAAATGAAGAAAGTCGTCTCTGGGTTTTGGCGCCGTGTATTCTTCGAATTAGCCGACGTTTCGGAGGAACTTATCGCCTGCATCTTCAGAGCAAGTAAATAGCCTTGTGAATGCAGAGAGCAGTAGCTGTAATGTGTCGATGAGTATCCTCCCCATAGAGGAACACTATGTTAGTTAGTTAGTTATTGGAGAGGGTGTTTCCCCATGCACTTAGACTACTATTGTGCTTCCCTCTATGATATTCTACCAGTCTCTATACCCTACCGATAAATGGTGCGTACCATCAGTCCCGCCGAGCAAGCGAGTTCGGCCACTTGCTTAGCGGTATCTTTAATGCTTCCCCCCTCTATCAGAGGCGTTAGAGACCATTGTTGGGCGGGAAACGTCCTGGAATTTGGCTCAGTGATCCCCTTTGGGGATATGAGGTTCTTTTACGTGCCGTAAAGCTACGACACGGGACACACAGCTTAAAGTCCCTCCCGGAGGACTTGTTCCCTGAATTTTTCCGCCGCTAAAAATTCGACGACCTCCGCCGGGTGTTTTAACCCGCGTACCACGATTCATGAGGTGGGAACTTTACCTCTAGACTACGGAGGCCGCTGGAACACTATGTAAGTTTTGAGGTTTTCACAGCGATGACTACGAAGAAAGAGCTACTGCTGTCTGCATTCACAAGCCAATTCACATGCTCTGAAGAGGGAAGCGATACGTTCCTCCGAAACGTCGGCTAAAACGAAGAATACTCGGCGCCACAACCCAGAAGACGGCTTTCTTCATAGTCATCGCCTTGAAAACCTCAAAACTTACAAGAAAATGAAATGTTTACTTTTAAAATAAGACATTTTATAAATATCTATATAATAAAGAATTTGACTTGACACCGTACATTTTGTTAATTTCAAATATTTTATTTACGTCTGTGCTAACGGACCAATGTCCCCAGCGTGAAACTCATGTTCGTCACATATACAAGAATATGTGAGGAAACAAATTCGATGTTAATCAGGCTTGTGAATGAAATGATTGCATTTTCAACTGGAAACACATATTGTACTCCGATCCTCTCACATGTAATATGATTTATGAGCAAAAAACGCAAATGTTTTCGTGTTTAAGATGAGCCATTTTATAAATAGCTTTACAAGTATGTGACTGAGAATGTCAGTATTTTAAGAACATGTGTTTCACGATGAGTACATCAGTCATTTATCACAGCCGTAAATAAATCTGGTGAAATTACCAAAATTTACTGTGTCAATATAAATTAAGTTTTTGTTTAGATATTTATACAATGTCTTATCTTAAACACAAAAACATTTGAGTTACTTGTTATTCAGCTGTACAAATGAAACGATAGCATTTTCAACTATAAAGATTCATTGTACTCCATTCCTGTAATATGTAATATGATTTTATAAGCAAGAAGCTCAAATGTTTAGGTGTTTAAGATAAGATATTGTATATATGTCTATATAATCACATAATTAACCTAGACACACTAGATTTTGTTAATTTCACAAAATTTAAGTAAGGCTGTGATAAAGGACCAATTCCCCATCGTGAAACACATTTTCTTAAAATACTGTCATTCTCAGTCACATATACAAAAATATATGAGCAAACCAAAACGTGGTTATTCAGCAGTATGAATGAAACGATTGCGTTTTCAACTGAAAACTCCCATTGTACTCCATTCCTGTCATATGTAATATTATTTTATAAACAATAAAATCAAATGTTTACGTGTTTATGATAAGGCATTTTATAAATATCTGTGTAATCATATAATTTAAATTGACACAATACATTTTGTTAATTTCAAAAGATTTATTTACGGCTGTGGTAAAGGACCAATGTCCTCATCGTGAGACCCGTGTTCTTAAAATACTGACATTCTCAGTGAAATATACAGGAAATTATGAACAAACCAACAATGTTATTAAATAGAGCCTCAGTCTTACATTGGATCTGTTAAATACCACGTCGCAAAAAGTAATTTAAAATAAATAAAAAATTATCTGAATAAATCTCGAGCCATATTATATGAGTCCCTTGTCATTACGGCATCTACCAGATATTTTGAAAATGTTTCACAGTTCAAATATTTGGCGAACAATAAATCAAAATCCGATTCAAGAGAAAATTAAGAGATTGAATTCGTATGCTACCATTCTGTCAAGAAGGTTTTTTCTTGTTTTCTGCTGTTTAAATCATAAAAGAATATAGAAAACTATAATTTTACTTGGTGTTCTCTATGGGTGCAATATTAAGACCAGGCGCACACCAAGGAAAATGGCAATATCGATTTCAAGCGGGCAACTGCTTTTGCAAATTAGCAGGTGCACACTGAGGAACTTACGTTTGATTAGTTGCTCACAACATCTCAAGTGGGTGTGTTTGCCTGCCAATTTTGTGCACTTCTCAAGTACAATGTCAGGTAATAATATTTATCCTCAAATGATATGTTGGTGGTTGAGACAGTGTAAGAGTATAAAACTGGAGAAAAGGAAACATTTGGTGCCTCCGTTCTTTCGCGACAATTTAAATTCACGTTTTTATATTATTTTAAAAGAACTAAATCAGGATACAGAACTGTTCAATTCATTTTACAGAATGAGCTTTGGAAAGTGTTTCTTTACTAGTGGATCTTGTAGGTTCCATAAAATTCTGGGAAATTCTTGATTAGCAGCAGATTTGGCTTCTCAGGAAGGGCTCAGCTTCGTAAGTAAGTCAGTAAGGAATGTGGGTAGCACTTCTGTTCGGGTGTTGTAACAGCACTTTGCTATGCAATGTCAGATTGAACAACACCGCAACCAATCAACTGCTACCCCTTTTGTCTATTATGCGGCTGTTGCCAAGATATGTATTTGTTTGATTATATGTCAACAAGTTTCAGAGTGTAGCAGGCAGATTTTTTAAGGAAACTGAGTTCATTTAATTTATTACAGATGGGACACAGTACTTCTACGAGAAGTTAAAGGAAACGAGTATATCCTGGTCGCTCGCTGAGTGCTCGCTGAGTGTCCCTGACGTCCCTGACTGTGTCTCTGGGTCGGCTGTGATCACTGTGATACCGAGGTTACGAACTGTGCACACAAGTACCACAAATTCTTGCATAGTAGGTACTGGACATTACGTTGTTAATAGAATTTTGTAAGTTGTGGGTATTCTTTAGGGAATCACTAGGCTTATTTGATAGAAACTAAGTTTCCTCATATTTTGACAAATTATGGTGTTCGTGATATTATTCCGCTGTTGCAAGTTCTAGTTGGGTTTCTGCTCGCTTCGCCCACTCTGAGGGTGATGTTACTAGTAGAATGCACATTTTTACTGTTGTATGTCCTTTCTCGCCAGTTACACATACAAATTTGATTTATAAAGGAAGTAGTGAGAGGTGATGGGCTGTGGTACGTATGCAGGGCATAGAAATACATTTTTGCGGGTCGGCAATGTAGATTTGTAGAGTAGGTTGCTGTTTCTGGGATGTAACTCCGTGCAGTCTGGTACCCTACCGACATTTAGGAAGCAAGAGGTTCACGCAAAATCGGTGAACTGGCTGCCTTCACAACTGAGCAACAAGCAAGAGGTTCACGCAAAATCGGTGAACTGGCTGCCTTCACAACTGAGCAACAATATGCTAGACTACACAACGTGTAATAAGACACTGAGCTTCATAATCTCTGCCGGCTTCTGCTGTGAGAAAAAAGAAGTTCAAGTCAGTGTGTGTTTGTTCACAAAAATTATTATGTTTCCTTACAGACGTGGGCAAATATTCAGAGCTAGGTACTGGTATACTTGTTAGAAATATGATGCTATGTCACTAGGATTCTTGTAAATCAATTCATTTGCCACCCACAAAGCATCATGTATGATAAAATAAAGTTTCAAGGTTATGAAAGATTCTGCATTCTTTTGCAGCAGAAATTCCAAGAATTCAGCCACAGAGAGCTGAACAAACATTTCCTGCTTTGACAGAAAGGATGGTGAGTGTTGTGTGCACAGACAAGAATTTTATTGTCATCAGTCAATTCTCATATCTTAAGAAACTAAACTTTTTATGCCAAGCTTGTGCTAGTTTTCATAATCAATGTGGGGAGTTCATTTGGTTCACATTATCACACTTTGCGTTACTATGTGGCAGAGGGATCAGTTCAAGGAGAGTGATATGGGTATGTCATGTGGCACACATATGAGAAATGAGAAATGCGTACAGAGATTTTGACAGAAAGCCTGAGAGAATGAGACAATTGTGGAGATGGATTTCAAAGATACAATTATGGGGGTTTTGGACTGGGTTTGTTTGTGTCAGGATGCAAAGTTATGATGGGCATGTGTGAACACTGAGTGCTTAGGTTCCATAAAGAGCAGATACGTATTGACTGTACTTCCACAGGGACCACAGGTTTCTCAGGAAGGTCTCTGCATTATGAACTTAACACTTGCTAAGATTATGAAGTCTGTAGAGAAGAAATCTGTACAGACCAGCTGTTATGGGTTAGATGTAATGAGAAACAGCTACAGCAAGGAGAGCATATATTGTTTCATGTATGGTGGTGTACAGCCATGACTGATAAAAGATGTGATGCCTTTACAGAACTGTACAAATTCAGAGAAGGTTTTAGTAGGTCCATATGGTGAGACATACCCAGCAAGTCATGATGCAAACCAGGCCATGAATATAAAATCTGAGGAAGTCTCAGACTCACAAGAAGAAGTGGATCCTGTGTGAATAACATTTCACGAGATAAAGGCTGAACCTGAGGTGAGCTGTATGCTGCTGTATGTTCACTGTTAGGCAGATATCACAGATAAGCAGGAATTCCAGTTGTCTTTCTCATCTCCATCTGTCTGTCTGTCTGTACACATAGAACAACTCCACTGTGCTACTGACTTGCCTTTGAAGGCCTTTTTCTGAAGTGTCTCTAGACAGTTATAATTTGTTGAATGTATGCTGCTTGTGATGTACCACTTCTGTTTCCTTTTAAGCAGTTCTGATGCAGATGAAATTAAATTTTGCATAAATGGAACGGTGTTTGAGAGAAATTCTATAGCAGCAAAAATCCTTGGGGGTCACTGAACTGTTCTCGTTTAGTTACTAGTACACTTATTAGAACCAAGAATTTAAGTTACTTGGACTCTTGTAAGCTAATTACAGTGAACCCCGCAAGTTATTTGTAATGTGATTAACAAGTTTGAAGGTTATAAAAGATTCTGCATTCTCTTGCAACAAGAGTGGCAAGAATTGTACTGTACATACATACATACATACATACATACATCAGCGTTTCAGAGTATTCACAAGTGTGCAACTGGCACTGGATATAAAACTTGTCAAACAACAGTCACATGACAATCACAGATAAGATCGCAAAGACATCAGTTCGACCATAGTTTAAATCTAAACTGATTACCTCAATTAGATAGATACAATGTTACACATACAATTATACCAACATGATAATTAGCAATACATAATAATTCTCCTTCCTACTCATATATACATATGCATGCAATGAAGAACTATAGTCGTCACATATTTAAATATAAATTGCACGGTAATATAATGAAATATACCTTAATAAACATATTTCTGACTAAATCCTTACACTAAAGCAAAAATTCATCAACTGAATAAAACGAATTATTGATTAATATTTCTTTTAGTTTTCCTAGGAAAAGTTTCCTGTCTTGTTCCAAATCTCTTACATAGAGAAGAAAACTGTTGAAAATTTTAACACACACATATAATAGACTCCTTTTTGCCTTCTAAATGTGACTGTAATACATGTAGATTCCCTCTGTGTCTTGTGGTCTTATTATGGATTGCATCATTAAAAATAAAATACTCAACATTACTTATCATAAAAATCATCAAAGATAATATATATTGGGAGACCAATGTTAATATGTTTAGTTTTTAGAATACTGGCCTGCATGTATCTCTTTGTTTCAATCCCAGTTCTCTTCTGTAAGATAAAAATCTTCTTAGCATCTGGTGAATTACCCCAGAAAACTATCCCATACCTCATGACTGAATCAAAATATGTGTGATATATCATCCTAAGTGTTTCGATATTAGTGCCCAACTTCATATTTCTTAATGCAAAGCATTCCTTGCCCAATCTGGGTGTCATTAATTTAATGTATGTTTTCCAGTTGAAAAACTGTATAGAGCTGAAGAAAAGTTTCCTACTGTAAGTGAAAGGATTGTGAGTGTTTCGTGCTTGTATGCACAGAGAAGAATTTTATTTTATTTCAATTGTCTTGGCCAAAGAAACTAAATATTTTGTGACTAGCTTCTGTTTGTTTGCATAATCCACGTGGGGCGTTCCTTACACATGGGTGATAACGGTGTGGGATATTATGTAGGAGAGCAATGAGTTCAAGGAGGGATATGTGGGTAAGTCATGTAGTGCACATGCAACGGTGAGAAATGCATACAAAGTTTTCGAGGGAAAACCCGAGAGAAGCGGACCACTTGGGAGACCTAAGTGCAGATGGAGAGATGCTATTAAGATAGATTTTAAAGAAATAGTTTGGAAGCATTTGTACTGGGTCTGTTTGCCTTAGGATGCAGAGCCGTTATGACCATGTGTGAACACAGTAATGAGCCCTTAGGCACCATAACTAACTCCATGGAGCTGAGTGAGTCCTTGAGAAGCCACCAGTTGATTGGCCACTGAAGAATTTCCCAGCATTGTATAGAACCTGAAAATTTATTTTCATGTTCGCAAGAATCCGTCACAGGCCCCTATCCTGAGCCATTTGAATCCAATCCACACCAGCCCATCCTATGTTTCTTAAAGAACCCACCTATGCCTAGGTCTTCCTATTGGTCTCTTTCATTCTGGCTTTCTCGTCAAATCCTAAATGCATTCCCCTTCTCCCCCATGCCTGCTTATGAGCTCCCCATCTCATTGCCCTTGACTTAATCATATAATTATGCTTGGTGAACGAAGGTTACAAGTTGTGGAGCTCTTCATTATAATGTCTATAGGCACCAAAAAAGCAGATATTTTCTGTACTGCTGCAGTGACCGATAGTTCCTTGGGAAGGTCCCTAAGCTGTGAACTGAGTACTTTCTAGTGATCTTTATCTGCCCTACCTGGTGTTGCTGCTGCTGCTGAAGTTGCTAGGCCTTGGCTGGTTTCGGCTTGACCGGGCTCCACCTCTNCTAAATATTTTGTGACTAGCTTCTGTTTGTTTGCATAATCCACGTGGGGCGTTCCTTACACATGGGTGATAACGGTGTGGGATATTATGTAGGAGAGCAATGAGTTCAAGGAGGGATATGTGGGTAAGTCATGTAGTGCACATGCAACGGTGAGAAATGCATACAAAGTTTTCGAGGGAAAACCCGAGAGAAGCGGACCACTTGGGAGACCTAAGTGCAGATGGAGAGATGCTATTAAGATAGATTTTAAAGAAATAGTTTGGAAGCATTTGTACTGGGTCTGTTTGCCTTAGGATGCAGAGCCGTTATGACCATGTGTGAACACAGTAATGAGCCCTTAGGCACCATAACTAACTCCATGGAGCTGAGTGAGTCCTTGAGAAGCCACCAGTTGATTGGCCACTGAAGAATTTCCCAGCATTGTATAGAACCTGAAAATTTATTTTCATGTTCGCAAGAACCCGCCACAGGCCCCTATCCTGAGCCATTTGAATCCAGTCCACACCACCCAATCGTATGTTTCTTAAAAATCCATTTAAATATTATCTTCCCACCTATGCCTAGGTCTTCCTATTGGTGTCTTTTATTCTGGCTTTCTTGTCAAATCCTATATGCATTCCCCTTCTCCCCCATGCCTGCTATATGAGCTACCCATCTCATCGTCCTTGACTTAATCATATAATTATGCTTGGTGAACGAAGGTTACAAGTTGTGGAGCTCTTCATTATGCTGTTTATAGGCACCAAAAAAGCAGATATTTTCTGTACTGCTGCAGTGACCGATAGTTCCTTGGGAAAGTCCCTGAGCTGTGAACTGAGTACTTTGTAGTGATCTTTATCCGCCGTACCTGGTGTTGCTGCTGCTGAAGTTGCTAGGCCTTGGCTGGATTCGGCTTCACCAGGCTCCACCACTTCTTCCAGCTCCACCGCTTCCTCCTTCCGTTGAGATTACAGGGGGGTTGAATTTCAGGATGGGACCTGATGGTATGGGCGCCAGCAAACAGCTAGAGACTGTTTGCGATTCATTGTAAAGGGGGGAAGGCGTGAGTAGGTGAAAGTTGATGATTGGTTTCACTAGCTAGTGGAGATGAGTCTCTCTTCAGGGCGTATACGGGTCAGGCTCGGACAAGTGAGGGTGAAGCTCCTCTAACCAACACAATTCACTGTACCACTACAACACTTTATTGTTCTTCTTGCAGGCACTTGGCTGTATAGGTTCACACAGTCTGGTTTAGTTTCGGCTTACAAGCAGCTGGTGTTACCCCTGCACAAATTGCACTCGATAAGCTCGACTTACAACCGTCCGCTTATGGATTAAGCCAAATCCCTATATGAGCCGTTATGAGCAAAATTTTATACTTAAAATTTTTCTTAGGCGCGTGTGGTGCGGGGTTTGCCTCCGCCAAGTTCTAATGTTGATAGACGACTAAAATCTTAGACGGAACTCTCTGCCGAGACAGAGGTACTAACTGAGTTGTATCTGCCTATGCTCCTCTCCTCCTAATTTCCCCGATAGGCTGATTCAAATAAGAGGAGTTGGCTTAATTTTGGTTCCAGCCAAGGATATTGTTTTTAAGGGACTTTTGCCCCAAAAGACCAAACGGCGAAATTGATAGCGATGCAACTTATGAGGGGTCGCTAATGATCTCTTCCCACTTTTGACTTACGGCTGGTAGAAACTGTCACTTCTCGAATTGTCAAAGTGGCTTGCCGCTGTAAGGCTAATTCTCAATTTCTAAACAAACTCAGTGGGGTTGCTTGAAGTATCACTTTCTGCCCTTTTAGAAAATAACATCAGATGCTTGGATGCAAGGACTAGCAGATGTCCTTGTCCACGCAAGTTTGGTCTATCTGCTCATTGCCTACTCCTTGTTCTGACAGTGTGTCTTAAGCCTTTGTTTCTTCATAATTCTTATTATCTACTCTATCAGCTGCTGAAATAAAAACAGGGGAAGGGGAAGGATTTCAATGGTGCTGTTACAGATCATGATAGGTGTAGAGAAGAGCATCTGTACAAAACTGCTCTTATGAGTTAAATGTGATGAGAAACAGCCATAGCAAGGAGAGTATATGCTGTTTCATGTGTGTTGTTGTGTGTCCATTTCTGAGAAGGATGTGATTGTTTTTACAGAACTGTACAAATTCGGAGAACACTTTAGTGGGTCCATATGGTGAGACATACCCAACACCTCATGATGCAAATCGGGCCATGAATGTAAAAGTTGTGGCAGTCTCAGATGCAGAAGTGGAAGAGGATCCTGTCCCAATATCATTTCCAGAAATAAAGGCTGAACCTGAGG